GGGGGGTAGACATAAAGAACAGGCCACCGACAGAACTAACGATATGACAAAACTACTCGTAAGTATAAAATCAAGGAGCACAGGGTTGAAGAAAGAGTGCCAGAGGTTGCTGGGTGAGCCAACAGCATGATATTTGAGACAATAAGCAACGAATAATTAGAATCATATCACTGCCACTGATAATCTTGCAGTGACGGGACTTGAAATGTGAATTTGTAACATGAATGCTTCTTCTGGAGAGTCCCACAGGCTCCAATATATAACGGTGATGAGTAGGTAGAGTCATGAGGCAGAGGGTTTAAAATTAAGAACAAAATAGATATTAAAGAAGACATGTAAAGGTCAAGAAAGGGGGTGGGAATTTAGGATCCAAGGGTAGGACCCAAATAAAACCAGAGGATTAGAGACACACTCATTAAAAAAAAAAGTGTTTATTTCTTTTTGAGAGAGAGAGAGAGAGAGAGAGAGAGAGAGAGAGAGAATGAATGCATGCATGCATGCTGGGGAGGGACAGAGAGAGAGGGAGACCCAGAATCCAAAGCAGGCTCCAGGCTCTGAGCTGTTCAGCAGAGAGCCCAGCTCAGGGCTCAAACTCATGCCGTGAGATCATGACCTAAGCTGAATTCGGATGCTTCATGGTTTGAGCCACCCAGGTGCCCCAAGAGAGGCACTTGTTTTTTAAAAAAAATATGATCACTGTGATTCATGACCATGGACGTGGAGCCACCAGAATCAAGGAAGGCTGGCTATAAAGGAAAACAAAAACAAAAACTTGCCTGAAATAGAATTAGTCTAAGCCAAAGCAACCACATAATTCAGAAAAAGAGTTATTGTGAGCATAAAATTATGAGAAAATAGCTAAATAACTCGATACTTTCAGAGGACGGAGAGATCAAAAGCATAGTTTTTCCTTCTTCGGTGACAGAAAGGTATAGTTCCAAATTAGAAGCCTTATTAGTTTCCTAGGGCAACTAATAACAAAGGACCACAAACAGCCCTGGATACTAGAAGTACCCCCAAATTAAGGTGCAGGCAGCCTTGCTTCTGAAGGCTGTGAGGAAAAATCTGTTCCATGACACTCCGCTAGTTTCTGCTCATTTGCTGGCAATCCTTAGCATTCTTTGTCTTCCGGAAGCCTAACACGAACCTTCACACGGCGCTCTCTCCCTATCTCCCTTTTTGTGTCCAGATTTCCTCTCTTCATAAAGACATAGTCGTACTGGATTAGGACCCACCCTAACGACTTCATCTTAACTCGATCATCTGAGAAGACTCTGTTTTTAAAAGTAAATTCATATTCATGGATACTGAGGGTTAAGACTTCAACATCTTTTGGGATATGCCATTCAGTCTATAACAGTTCCCAACATTTGTCCTGATAAATCCTAAGATGAGGTGCATAGGAGGTAGCATTTTTTTTTATTCAAGTATAATTAATACCGTGTTACATTAGTTTCAGGTATACAATGTAATGATTCAAAAATTCTATATGTTTCTATATGCCCATCACAGTAAGTGTACCCTTAATCCTGTTCACCTATTTCATCCACCACCGTATCTTTTCTCTCTAGCAACCACAAGTTTGTTCTCTATATTTAAGTCTGTTTGTGGTCTCCTTTTTTCTTTGTTTGCTTAAGTTCCACATAGGAGCGAAATCATAATTGTCTTTCTGATAGATTTATTTCACTTAGTATTATACCCTCTAAATCAACCCATGTTATTGAAATGGCAAAATTTAATTCTTTTTTTATACTTTAATAATATTCCTGTGTGTATACACACCCTGTATCTTTATTGGTTCATCTATAGATGGACCTTTGGGTTGCTTCTATATCTTGGCCATAGTAAATAATGTTGCAATAAACATAGGGGTGCACATATCTTTCCACATTAGTGTTTTCATTTTCTTTGGGTAAACACTCACTAGTGAAATCATTGGGTCATATGGTAATTCTACGTTTAATTTTTTAAGGAACCTCCATAGTGTTTTCCACAGTGGCTGTACCAGTTTGCATTCCCACCAACAGTGCACAAGGGTTCCTTTTTCTCATCTTTGCCAACACTTGTTATCTCTTGTGTTTTTTATTTTAGCCATTCTGAAACGTATAGGGTGCCAGTTCACTGTTATTTTGATTTGCATTTTCCCAATGGTTAGTGATGTTGAGCATCTTTTGGAGGTAGAGAATCTGACCTGACACACAAGAACCATTTACTTGGATAAATTTATCCAGCGAACCATCAGAGACACTCTAAGGTGCCTACTCCAAATACCTAACACGTATGTGTTAAATAAAGATTGGAAGAGTAAATTCATGAATAAAGATACATTTCATTCCCTTTTGTACACCTTGGAGACACTGTTTACCCATCAAGAAATAGAGGCAAGTGCTAGGTGGCTCTTTGCTAACCCCACATGCCTTCCAAGATGGGAAACCTCAAACACTTTCCTACTGTCCATCGTTCTTCTGCATATGGCTTTCCCCAGGGCCATGCCCATTGGCCCATGCCTGGCATAATCATCGGATTTGGTTTTACAAACTTTTTCCTGTCCACGTCCCTTACAAACTTCCTCTCAGTGGCTAGAATGTTTACGTTCAAAGCAGTTTAGTTGACCCTGTTAATTATTTTTCACTCATTCATTCATGTATGCATCCATCCACTCACTCATTCCAGTAATCTTCAAGGTGTAATGCTTCTTTTAATAACATGTTTTATAACATCTCCTTTACTATTTCCAAATGAAAGCCATAGATAATATCGCCCACCCACACATATAATTTCCAAGAAATCAATATATGGCCCTGACTGCAATATCAAGGATGAATTCAAAGTAATTTATAATAAAATAATAGCTATTTCAAAGTATAAATGTCCAGGCATAAAGAAGTGGTAACATGCTTGCCTCAATATGCAGAATTAAAGTGATTATTTTCCCTACAAATGCAGACTGATAAAAACATGTGGTATAAGTCTATCAATGAAGAATACCCTGTCGTCAGTGACATGATTACCTGAAACAGTAAATAACTCTGAGACACATTCCTTTTTAATTTTTTTAGGGGTGCCTGGGTGGCTCAGTTGGTTGGGCGACTGACTTCGGCTGAGGTCATGATCTCACAGTTTGTGAGTCTGAGCCCTGCATTGGGATCTGTGCTGACAGCTCAGAGCCTGAAGCCTGCTTCAGATTCTGCATCTCCCCCTCTCTCTACCCCTCCCCTGCTCATGCTCTGTGTCTCTCAATAATAAATAAATATTAAAAAAAAGAAAAACTTCAAGTTTATTTATCTATTTATCTATAGAGCACACCTAAGTGGGGAAGAGCAGAGAGAGAAGGAGAGACAGGGCATCCCAAGCACACTCCACACTGTCAGTGCAGAGCCTGATCCGGGGCTCAAACTCACGAACCACGAGATCATGACCTGAGCTGAAGTCAGAAGCTTAACCGACTGAGCCACCCAGGCGCCCCTTAGAAACGTCCCAAACGGAAAAAAGAGCAGCCTACTCTCCATCTGCACAGCAGTTATAGCTCTAAATAATTTACAGTATAATAAATTCATGTAATAGTTTGCATTTATATGTAAAAATGAGTTATGGCTAAGTTCAGTTAAACATAATTTATCTGGGAGGGAGGGTTCTTAACAGGAACGTCTGGTGGGACAGTGGGAAGTCAATGAGGGTATGAGGTAATTCTTTATTCTTTGCAACTACTGTGCACAGTGCCCGACATCCAGCCTCATAGCCGCTGCCCCCTAAATGCCTATGATGCTGCCAATCATCGTGACATCCAAAAGGACATCCACAAATTGTCGAAATCTCCCATCAGCAAGAACTATTGATTTGGTCATTCTGTGAACCTTAAATGAGATGCCACTGTGTGCCAGGCATCAGGTTAACACGGGAGTAGAGGAGGGAAAGCTAGGAAAACAACTAAAGATAGCAGAAACGGGACACGTATAGTAAATCAACATATGAGCAGCAGGTACGTGGGTGGGAGGGGTTGTTACAAGCTTTATGAAATCTAACACCTTACAGAGCAGAGAACAGAGTTTTAGATCTAAGTGGTTTTAGGTGATTATGATTTCCCCATAGCAGTGCAAGATCTTTAAAGACAGATACAGTGTTTTAAAAACCTTTGCATCGCCTCAACGTCTGCATCTAACACGGATGGGTGAAAAGAAGAGATTGGTCAGAGCCAGAATTGAAACCCGGTCCCGTCATTTTTGTCTGAGCAACCTTAGGAAAGTTGGTTAGCTCAGTCTTTGTTTCACTATTTCTCTTTTCCAGGTGTTAGACAGAGGTAATGCATGTAGCATACTACATAAGTGGCAGCTCTTTTATTTATTAATTTATTTTTAATTAAAGAAAAATTATTTTTGAGAGAGCCAGAGCCAGAGAGAGTATGAGCAGGGAAGGGGCAGAGAGAGGGAGAGAGGAAATCCCAAGCAGGTTCCATGCTGTCAACGGGGAGCCCGACATGTGTCTTGATCTCATGGACCATGAGATCGTCATCCGAGCCCAAATCAAGAGTCAGACACTTAACTGACTGAGTCACCCAGGTGCCCTACCCCCCATTAAAAAAAAAAAATTTTTTAAGTTTATGTATTTATTTTTGACAGCACACATGAGAAGAGGAGGGGCAGAGAGAAGAAGGGAGAGGTGACAGTTCTTTTCAATCTTATTCTCATGGCAAAGTAAAAAAGTAAGAGTGCTGATGGCACCACCGGCCAGTGGTTGGTCTGGTGGCCTCAAGGTCTTGGAGGTGGCCTGGAGATCACATTACGGGGTTAGAGTCTCTCTCTTTCTCTTGTCTGTCTAGTTTCCTCCTTCCTTCTCCCCTCTCTTCCTTCCTTCCCATACAACCCTCCTCCCCCTTCTCTCTCTCTCTCCCCCATTGAAATTACCAAAACACCATTCAAACGTTGGTGGGAGTCAAAATAGAAAAACCGAGAAACAAAGACAGAGGAAGGGGGCTGTCACCGTGATGACACAGAATAAATCACCAGAGCTTCTGTGACACTGCTGGGCGACACCTTGTGAAGACGGCCCAGGGGGCAGCCATCTGGTGCTAATTCTACCTGTCCTCATGTTAGTCTACCTGTATGGAGTTGAATTTCCTATCACTCAAGGTTATATGGATGAGTTTTTCATCAGTAGGACCAAAATAGCTCATCTGAAATGTACAGGAGCTGTAGATTGATGAATTCATCAAGACAAATTTGGAACACATGGAAAGTCTCGTATCTCATAGCCAACTCAGAGCTATTATGGTGATTCCAATTTTCATAGGCTCAATTTTCCTAAGATCAAAAATGCTCTTTTAAAATGTCTCTGTTTAACTATCTAATAAACAGAATATCTAAAGGAATCTAATATTACGTCTAAACCATTAATCTCTCTCTTTTCTCCATTTTTGGTCTTTTTTTTGGTATATATTCTTTCAAACATGCTCTCCTTAGGAATAATCACTGGCAAGAATAAGTCAGCGGAAAATCCATTCCTGTTTTTATGACCGCCTCTGTGGACTGAGAGCCTATTTCTATTCAAGAACGCACTTCCCGAGTTGAGACTCTCCTTTGGGCATTGTAGTTAATTTGACGAAATTGAACAATAATCTTTTTGTTTCTAATTCATGTTCACATATTCCTGATCCCTTTGGGGTAAAGTTCAATAAACACAATGAACCCAGCTCCTCGTTAGAACTATTCAAAGGATTACATGTTGGACTCGACCAGAGTCTGGGGAAATTGTAAAGACATCAAGAAGAAGACACAAAGATTCCTCTATTATTGGGGAAGAGAGGCATTGCATTCAAGTAATCAATACCTGTCCCGTCTTAAGGAATACACTCTTACCTATGACATATGTGGCTGTAGGCCTAAGACCACTAAAAGAGTTTAATCATGCCCAAAACATAAACTATTTCTAAAATATTCAGGTGAAAGCCTTGGACCTCCCTAAGCCTCAGAAATTTAGAGATACTGACCAAAGGCAGAGGAAATGAGCAAAATTGTTATACTCCGTTTACTCAAATTCCTAACAAGTTTCTTTTACTTTCTCTTATTTTTATCTGGCCTAGAAAAAGATTTAGAATGCATGTATGTGGACCATACTATTGTATTTGGCATTCCCTAAACACTCACAATTTACTAAGCCCCAGACATGTTGAAACTAGAGATGATCTCTGTCCAGCAGGGTCCTTGTGTTTGTTTAAGGACAATAGGAATTAACTAGGTTTTAGTTACCATGAATCTGCCTGTATTTAATATCATGGTTTCTCTTTAAGAAAAGATACAGAAATAACACTAACTTTATGTCCCATCATTGTGAACTCTGAGACTCTGTCTCTCCAAAAGGCTGCGAGTTTTTAAAGGAAATACCCTCTTTTCCCTATTTTGTGATTTTGACAGGAGAGCGCGTTCTGAAGAAGCAGGGGAAAAGAGCTCCCATCTTAAGATTCTGGAGTTAAACTGAGAGTCTCTGAAGCCAAAACTGTTAATAATATTTTCCAGCTTACAACAACCTATAAAAAAGCACATGTGTGGCAATAAAACAGAACAAGCAACCATGAAAGGAACATAAAGAGAGACAGACGGACAGTTGTCCAATTTTCACAGAGGGCTCTGGAACATTAAATTTTGAGTGTTCCCTGGCATAGTATATCAGGCTTTCTTCCTGTTGGGAGTCATGCTTGCCTGGCGGTGACAGGCTCTGTGTCTGTAGGACAGAGCCGAGCAGAGGCATCCACAGTGACTTCCTGACAATGGGATCCACCCTCGGTTCCTATGTTGGTGAAAAATGACAGCTGCTTCCACAGTAATGGGTGGAACTAAAGAGGTTGTGAAGTCCTTTAAATGTCCTTCGTCTCCAAAAGCTCCCTGAAGCATCATGGAAAAGAGATACCCGTGGTGGAGTTGTGGGAGGTTAAGTTGGCCTTGTTACCCAACACAGCGGGAAGGACATTCGCTTAGGGACCCCCGGGATTTGGGGGCTTGGAATCTGGTGCCAACATTAACTAGCTGTATTGGCTTTTCACTTTTTCGAAGCCTCCCAGTCTTCATCTGCAAAACGGAACTGCTGCTAACGGCTCGGCAGAGATCTCAGGAGGCGATTAAAAAAGATTAAGGGGCACCTGGGTGACTCAGTTGGTTAAGTGTCCGACTCTCGGTTTTGGCTCAGGTCACGATCTCATGGCTTGTGAGTTTGAGTCCCGCGTAGGGCTCTGCACGGCTGGGATGCTCTCTCTCCCTCTCTCTCTCTCTGTCCTTCCCCTACTGGTACTCTCTCCCTCTCAAAATAAGTAAACTTGGGGGAAAAAAAAGATTAAGAATGATATACATTCAGTGCTCAGTGGATTATACACAGGGTGCTCAATACATGGTAATGGTAGTTTTTATTACTTACCTGAACTCTCTTTTCTAATATGTCTGGTTTCTAACCTCACGGGGACTTCAAAATGTGAAAAATTTATGTCAGAATACAAAGGCAAGAACGTGCATGCAGAGGAGATTTTTTAAGTTCACTTCTCTTCTGCGCATAGTTATTGTCGTTTAGGTCAGAAAGTTCTGGAGAGCAGAATTTCTAAAAAGTGGCCACATCTTTCCCTCAGAATTATGAGTGGTCACAAATGGTCATACCAATGGCCAGGTACTCCTGCTGCAGAACTGGGTCCAAAATTGGCACAAATCAAGAAAAGATGGGCTGTTTGGTTGCAAAGGGCATGAGGACCAGGAGAACACTGGAGTTGTAATATACAGAATCCACACCTGCCAGAGTTGAAAAGGCTTTGGAGATGATCTGAATTCACCCCTTTATAGATCAACTTTTCTTTCCAATTCACAGCCTACCATTGTCCTTAAACGACTTGAATATTATTACTATAAAGGACATAAATAAAACGTTATTTACATGAAATCACATTACAGTAAATTACATTACAATAACATTAATTACGTTACCATAATTGTAATTACAATAATGCCACAAAAAGTTATAATGTAACAAAAAGTTACATTACGTTATAATAAACATCATAAAGACTTTAAATAAACATAGTTCAGGGGCGCCTGGGTGGCGCAGTCGGTTGAGCGTCCGACTTCATCCGGGTCACCATCTCACGGTCCGTGAGATCGAGCCCCGCGTCGGGCTCTGGGCTGATGGCTCGGAGCCTGGAGCCTGTTTCCGATTCTGTGTCTCCCTCTCTCTCTGCCCCTCCCCCGTTCATGCTCTGTCTCTCTCTGTCCCAAAAATAAATAAACGTTGAAAAAAAAAAAAATTAAAAAAAAAAAATAAATAAATAAACATAGTTCAGAGTTGATGAAAGAAAAATCCACAGAGGCCAAATGACCGTAAATGAGACGGTAGGTCAAGGACATGTCAGTATGTGGGAAGGGGAACGTGCATCCTATAGGAAGGAAGAGGTTAAAGTGCAGAGTTCAGGTTCTGGCCTAGGAGAACAGGCCGACCAGCGAATCAGAACTGAATGGTGGGAGGTGGCAGAATGGGTATAGTATCAGTAGCTCCTATGGAAATTGTTCTCACTAGACCTTGAAGTAGAAGGTTCTTGAGCCTTTCTAATTACAAGGTGCTGAAAGAACCCTGTCACCGGGGCAGGGAAATTTATTCTTTCTGGCTGAGCTGCAGAATCTAGAGGTGTATAGGTTATGAAAGAAACATTGGCAAATCCCACGGCTCAATGACAGGATCCTCTTTATGGAGTCATTCCCCAACACGCATTCCAGATTAGCTGGCTTTTCCACCCAAGTATGTGTTTTGCTAGTTATTGAGACTTTATAGAATTCAGCTACCTCCCTAAGTAACCTCAATGCGTGAATAAAACTTGACGTTTAATTTTAGCCAAGAGAAAGTCTGCCTTGAACTTTTAAGACCTTACCCTTGTTCCCAGTCTTTCTAAACCCCAGGCTGTAACAAAGACGAAGACAACTCTCTATATAAGGGCCGACTAACAGACCGCACATCAACAGTGGCTTCTTTTAGTGATTTCATCTGAGTGGCTTTCATGTGCTTTGTCTGCAGCAAGAAATAATAAAGTAAGACATTAGCCAGGGTACCAAGTTAGCCAATTTTGATGTTTCCAGCCTGAACTTTCAGTACCTCGTCCTTTTTCTGCCACTCCCCCAGCCACCTTCCAGTGTACAAGTTACTCGCACCCTCTCCCCAAGGCCCTCAGAAAAAAATTGTAATTATTTACACCCTCCCCCTTTACTGAACTGCAAAACCGCTGTTTCTAAAGGTTGAATCACATAAAATCGCCAACATGTGATTAATTTTGATCTACAAAAATGGCAATTGCGTTATGGTTCAAACGGGTGGTAGTGATGGCATCTTGTCCCCTAGTAGTACAGTGAAATGAAAAAAAAAATAACCTTGTATTTGGGATGAAAGGAGTCCGAGATAGGATCTAGCCCAGCTTATTCAGGTATAGGCCTAGCCACTGAGACTCGGAATGGAGCAAGGAATTAGAAGATCAAACATCAACAGTTAGAGAACAGAGCCCGATTACATTCAGGATGACTGGACTCCTGTCCCAATGTTCTTATCTCCATGGCACGGGTCAGAAGACTTTTTTCTGTCAAGGGCAAGACAGTGAACTATTTCAGAATTTGTGGGCTACCGGGGATCTAACATTGTAGCATGAAAGCAGCCATAGACAATATGTAAACAAACGAATGGGGCTGTGTTCCAATAAAACTTTATTTATAAAAACAGATGGCAGGCTGGATTTGGCCCACAGGCTGTAGTTTGCCAAGCACTGCTCTATAGAATTCTTAGACTTAAAAATATCTGCAAGCAGATGGGTGAGGGATTTGTATATTGAAAGTGTGCTCAAGTGTTCATGGATGCTAATTCAGCATAAAGATCTTACTATCCTCTGTATTTCCCTTAAAATAAGTACCTAAAGAAACCCAAAGATGCTGGGGCCTCAGGGCTACAGCTGTCTAAGGGTTTGCCAACTGCAAGATTAGATCACTCAGGACGGGGATAATACTGTCTTAACTCCTTAGCTAAATCTACAAAATATACTTGTGATCTGAGGAAAGAAATACATTAGAATGTGCTATCCATCAGACTGCCTGAGCTATGGAATTAGGTACAGACACTCCTGGGTGAAATTTTAATAGCTTTAACAATCATTTAGTCAGACTCCTTCATGCGTTAGAGGAATATAACTTCATTTTATCATTTGCATGTTGGATGAACAGGGTTTGAACTGGCACTTGGGGTCAGCAAGAGATTTTGAATACAGGCATTTTTTCTATTTCTCCTGACAGTGAAGAAACTACTTTGGCTATATCTATTTTCCATTTGAACTTGAGAAGCATGGGAGAATGTTATTAAGCAACTGAAAAGTCTCTATTGGTCCCACATTCTGGCCACAACACAGAAAGGAAGACTTATCATCAGGTCATTCCAGGAAGGAAAACCAGTCAGTATGCACCAGGCATGATAATACTGTGAGTGTAATCAACATCCCTGGAGTAAAATTATGTCCATGCATCTAGCTATCTGCCCAAACATCCAGACCATCTGAATACCTAAACTATCTTTGAAGGTACTGGACCATTTGCTGAGAATCCCCGGTTAGGTGGAATAAGCTACCTGCTTCCAGGGAGCTAAAAATGTAGCAGAAGGAAGAAGTGAAGGCACAAAGACCACAAAACCACAACAATGAAGGCAATACTTCAAGAGTAACTTTCAAGTAACAAGCCAGTATCTGGAGGAACTCATTAAAGAACAGCAAGATGTGAAATAATCACCAGGTAGAGCTCTCAAGAGCTCCTGTTGAGCTATGAAAGAACCTGGAGAAGGTGCTACGGTGCCATGATGCAGCCCGCTGGAATAAATGTGCTTTTTCACCTCCAGGTACTCTACTGCCCAACCTACTTCTCAATAGGTTGGGCAAGAGCTCACTGGCAAGACCTCACGACAGCTTGTCCTTAAACAGGCAGAACATTCAAAACAAAACAAAACAAAACAAAACAAAACAAAACAAAACAACCAAATCACATAATATGGATGCTTTCTATAACTAAGTCATATCAGTCTTGAAGAATTCTAACTCTACTTTTATTTTATAGTACTTTCTACCCAACATTCTAGAGAAGATCAGAGGTAAGACGCAGCTTAATACAGAATCAAAAGTGGATGAAGACACTCAAAAAAGCTTATGTGATATGAATTAAATAATTAAAGATACTGTCTGTACCCAGGAAAAGAGCTAGAGATTCAAGGAGACCTCACAGTCAAAACTTATGTTAAATTCAGGATTATCATTAATGATTTTTACAGTATCATCTTCTAAGTCACTGTTCACAGTTTTTAGCAAGTGGCCAACTTCTTCAAGAACGTTGGTCATAGCCGCCGATTCCTTTTTGTTTACATTTTATAAAAGAAAGCAAAATACAACATAGCTTTGAACAGACCAAATTCAAGACCGCACCATGTATCAAGATTCAAATTGTATTTCTGCAACAGAACTAAAAGTATAATTCCAGAGCAAGAGAAACCAAAACCCAACAAAATGAGAACTCACCTTGGATATGAAGCATCCTGTTTTCTCACGTCCATTAAGCCCGGCAACCAAGATAAAAAAAAAAAAAAAAAGAACAAGATGCAGTGGTACTTACTTGCAGGTGATGGGGTGCTGCACCCACTTGGCGGAGGGTGACCATGAAGGCCATGGAGGGGAGGCAGGGAAAGTCCCCCGATGACCGGTGGAAAGAGTAACGGGTAGGTTGCGGCTGGATAGTGAGTCATGTGACCATTCACTGCCGGGACAGGACATGCGTGGCTACTGGTGGTCATGTTTCAGGCCTCACAGGATGAAAAGCGTTCTGGGGTGGGAACACATCACTCCAGGTCTTGAACCAAGGTGAGGGAGGTCAATTCAGGGCAAGGGTTGAGGGTGAGCTGTCTTCTGGGGCAAAGGCAAGACAGTTCAATGTATGACCACCTTGCACTTTAAAGATCCAGGACTGCTAACTCTGTAAGGAAAAAAAAACAAAACAACATATATATATATAAATTTTATAAGTCAAAAATATTTTCTTCTTTGTCGAGTTATGTGAAGAATCTCAGATGTTAAGCTAGGTCTTCGAATTCCCAGTTGTTCCCCTATATTTACTACCTTTATTTTCTTAAAGTCTTATATCCTGATATAGAATAAAACAAATATACAATTTCAAAGTAGCCCTGACTGTCCAATATTAAATAGCAACATCCCCCCACACCCAATCTTTCCCTATCTCCCTCACATTGCGTAAGTTTTCTCCATGGCACTTAAGTTTTTACGCGAGTGTTTTTGTCCATCTCTCCCATTAGAATGAACTCACCAGGAGGGCAGAGTTTTTTTGGTTTTATCACATGCTATGTTACAAGCTCCTCAAAGGATACCAGATAGGCTAGAGACACTCACTAAATATTCACCGAGTGAATGAATATTTGTTCTTGCTTCTTTTAGAGAAGTTGATTGTGCAATCATGTCCTAATCTAGGTGCTTCCAAGATGTTAAATATTTTATATGAACAAACTTGGGATTGAAACCTAGCCCCCTGGAATGACATACCTCCAAAAGGTAAATATAATTGTAGGAGAAAACCGTACCCTAATGAAAGGTGAGTAAGAGATACAGCGAAAGATCAGCAAAATTCGTTCTATCTTTTCTTGTTGTCAACAGTATACACCTTCCTTGTAAGAGCACCATCCATTGATCCATGTGACTGCTTTGTCTGTTTAATCATCCACCCATCAATAAAATCCTAACTTACTATTATATGCCAGGTGCTGATGTAGGCACTAGTGATATACTTCCACTAGTGTGGAAGAAGGCTAATGTGGCTCCTGCCATCACGGAGTGTCTAGTTTTAACAGCTCCTAATTGAGATCAGGTTGTTAAGGAGGGTTCAGTTGTCCTGCGCCTACAAAGAACTCGCAAGCAATGATCGGCACCACCTAGGACTGCTCGAGACTGGGGACAGAAGAAGCCTGGAACAGATTCTAGGGTGGGCTGACTGTAGACGTCACAGGTTCATTTGGGCCTTGATGACCAATATTCAGTAAAAGCCCCAAACTCTGGACTCCACTGAGGGAAGCACTGAAAAGTAAACCCATGTGACACAAAACAAGAACGGTATCTCAAGGCCGGCCAAGAGTAAGTGTCAGGGGCATGATTCCAGAATCGGACCACCTACGTTCACATCATGCCCCTACCCCATGAACAATTATCTGACTTCTCAATATGGCAGCTTTGAGTGTAAAATGGGGGTCATAATAGAATTTACCTCAGTGGGCTGTTGGGAGGATGCCATGAGGAAATGAGGTTAATACCATGAGAAGAGCGCCCGGGGCAGAGTAAACACTAGGTAACAATTTGCTATTAACATATGTGTTGTCTCACCAAATGATAGGCTTCTGAGAACAAGCTTACTGGAAAAGATATGAGGCTCTGGGGTCGGGGAGGGTAGGGAATCATGTCACAGTTGCCTGAGGAAGATATTAGGACTCCAAATTCTGTCATGGAAGAAAAGGTAGGATCCGGGTAAAGTTGAGAACAAAGACTCATTAAGGCTTACGGATTTCTCAGTTTGTGCAATTAGCCAGTTTGATTACAAACCTCACAATTTTCTAATCCAAATAACTTCCATTTGTTTACTACGTGTCAGGCCCTTCGCTTACGAGCTCCAAGCTCTAGCTCTTACTCCATAGCCTAAGAGGCAGTTATTATCTTAATTTTCCAGGTGAGAAAATTACGTCTCTGTGAGTTTAAATGACTTAGCCGCAATGTCCTAGAGTCAGCCTGTGGCTAGGTCAGAATTTGAACCTAGATCTGGAAGGTTCTACGAGCTCTTTGCTTTACCCTCCACCGTGCTGTGTGCTTATGTCACTGAGTGCCTGAAGGTGTCCTAGTTGTACCCTACAGAGGAAAACGTCCACAGGCCGTCCTGATGTGAGTGGCTGTCCTCACTTAGATGACATTCTCCCCAGGGCCTTGAGTCCCTGGCCTATTAATATTAAAAATGAGCATCATCAACAGTGAGGCCATATGCTCCCAGGTTCCCCAGGAGTCCGCTGAACCTTACAAAAGAGACTATAGTCCCCGTTGGCTTATGTAACACACTTAACCCCCAAAGTGGTGCCCCTCCCAAAATATCGATGTCCTTTTCACACTTTAAAACCACAACTTGTTTCTCTGATGAAAATAAAGTAAATGGACTATAAGAGGTGAATGTTTTTCTGAGCTTTCTCTTCTAAAAAATCATGCACCATCTAATATATTTAACATCGTGATTTCGTAGTTTGTAGCAAATTAATTAGAAAATAAACAATGCCGTTTAGTATTTGCTGCATTTCCACTCAATTTGATTTTTAAATCACACACACAAAGCCCAGCATTGTTAAAAATGGTCTTTTCTATCTCCATTAGATAAACTACCTCATTAACTGGTGGAGCTGACAGTTCAGCAAACCCACCCCCGCAGGGCACAATTCTTAGATTTTTAAAGCTGTTTGTTTGTTTTTACCAACCAGGGACTACTTCTACTCTCAATAATCCTTCATTTCTCTTTGCTTTCAAACACTGCCGATTTTTGGCATCCTGCCTGCCTGAATGAAAAGTCTGGTATCATGCCTAGGATCTTTAAGAAAACAAAAAAAAAACAAAAAAAGGAAAAGGAAAGAAAACTACTTATACTGGTAATAGGGCAAAAGAAAAAAAAAATCAGTGTTTTGGGAAAATCCAGTTATGTCGCTGGAAAACTGAACAGTCGCTGGGTCTATGTTCACATATGTGACTGATTAAGGCTATTCCTGGAAGCAGAGAATTTCCTTTGTTTCAGGCTTTTTGAGAAAAAAAAAAAAAAAAGAGATGTTTCATGATATTAGCAGTGCTTTTTCCCCCCCTCTATGCCTGATTTGATTTGGGGCTCATTCAGGGTTCCTTCCTTCACAGCCCGAAGCAAAGCAAACGGGAGGTGAATAGAAGAGAGTGGAAGGAAGTAGGGATTCCCATCAGGAGGATCTAGAACCTTAGAGATACCCTGGGCATCAGTTTCCTCCTCTGTGAAACGGGTTAAGGGGAGAGGAACAGGTTTTATGTCAAGTGTCTCAGGCTGTGCTGTCCAGAAAACAAGTGTTTTATGAGATATTAAATGAAAATACTGAAAATATTTAAGAGGATATAAACTAAAAAGGGGGTGCCTGGGTGGCTGAGGCGGTTAAGCCTCCGACTTTGGCTCAGGTCACGATCTCCCAGTTCGTGAGTTTGAGCCCCATGCCCCTTGTTGGGCTCTGTGCTGACAGCTCAGAGCCTGGAGTCCTGCTTTGGATTCTGTGTCTCCCTCTCTCTCTGCCCCTCCGCCCTCGGACCCCCCTACCCCCGCTCTCAAAAATAAACACACAAAAAGTTTTTTTAAATGAAAAAAAAAGAGGAAATAAAAAAATTTTATATAACTGCATGCATAGTTGATATTGTCATACAATAATCTATCTGCCTTTGATAAACAGCAGAATGACAGGAGTTAGTATGATAGGTCCACACACTAGCTGTTGGAAGAAACGTGCCCATGCAGTGGCAGGGATCTTGCGAACTGCTAACATCTATGCCCACATCCACGAGATATTATTTTAATAAGACATAGTACATTTTGTCCACTTTAATTTGTTAATGGTTTTAATCCATTAAAAGTTCTTAAAGTACATTTTAATCATTTCTTGGCACACTTAATTTACCAGAGGTTGTTTCTGTATTTATTTCAGCTTAAAGTTGCAGGCAGGTTTCTAAGCTGGTCCCTCTCAAGACTTAAAATTTGTTTTATAAACATGATACTTACATATGATTTTTTAAAAAAAAACCAGTTCCCTTTAAACCAGTGGTTCTCAAAGCGGGGTCCCTGAACCAGCTGTATCAACAGCACCTGTAAACTTATTAGAAACACAGATTCTGTGTTCGCACAGGATCTACTGAATCAGAGTCTCAGGTGGGTGCAGAAATCTGCATTCTAACAAGCTCTCCGGATGATGTTGATGCAGCCGACATTTGAGCAACACTGCCCTAGACATTCGGTTGGCAAATTTCTTCTGAAAAGGGCCAGAAAGTAAACAATTGAGATTTCAGGCCATCCAGTCTTTGTCACAAATACTCAACTCTGCTTTTGTACCAACTTCTTGTGAGACAAAAGCAACCACACGCAATCGATAAACGAGTGGATGTCGCTGTAATCCAATAAAATGGGCAGCCTGCTGAACTCGGCCCATGGACCATAGCTGGCTGACCCCAGCTTTAGATTAATAAAGAAAAACAGCAGCCCACTGTTTAACTCCCGTCCCTACAAGCAACTATGCTAGTTCGGTTTTTTCCTGTTACTTGTATTTCTAGATAATGGGCTTAAACTATTTTTTTCATAATTATGTAAGATTTCCTTTACTATCTACTGGTTTCTACTATAAATAGGATTGAAATCTCACAGGCTATTGCTCACACATGCAAAACCCTCTTTTCTCTCTTACTCCCAACATAATTTCATCACAATGAAAACAATGGAAATCAATTACATTAATTTTACCTAATTATGACTAGGTAAATATTGTTACAGCTGAGCCACATGACATACTACATTTACAGGTCTTATAAAATTTTTTGTTTTTCCTGGAGTTAATAATTGCCTTGTTTATATAATTGGATTACTTTCCATCTATGAATAATTCTTCCCCACTCCCTGACAATTCTGTCAGACATGTCATATGATATAGTAGTTCCATAACTGGAGACATTCCTCTTGCTCCAGGGCTGATTGGCAGCTTTCCTGGTC